AGAGAGAGAGAGAGAGAGAGAGAGAGAGAGAGAGAGAGAAAGTGTGAGTGTATGTATCAGGAATCTCGCGCTTCCGCTTGCAGAATCGGTCGCCACAGGTGGAGTCCACTACTTACGAGCTTCCTTCGGAACTAGAGATCGAGTTGAGACTTCCGGCGGTATCGCTGGCTGCGGATCCTGCCTGTTTGCTGTCAAAGCGCTGGTAGGCCGGCATGATCTCCTCGGATCGTTGTATGCTGCTCGGTGTGCTGTTACGCTTCCGGCTGGTTAAGCCGGCACCGCGTGCCACGGCGCCGGCGGTTCCACCGATGCCCATCATCATCCCGCCGCATTCTGCGTTGTAAACCAAACAAGAAATACCGCTAAACTATTGTCTTTCACTAATAACTGCGTGCGCCAGTAACTGCTGCGGCTCATCGCTCCCTCGTCCTCAGGTATCCAAGGGGAATGCCGAATTGCCGGTCATTAATTTACCACGTCTCCGCATGAGCAATGTGATGGAATCACGAAACAACAAACACAACTTTAGCATGTAACATATTTGTGGATTAATTTTCTCTCTCTCTCCCTCTCTCTCTCTCTCTCTCTCTCTCTCTCTCTCTCTCTCTCTCTCTCTCTCTCTCTCTCGTGCAAATTTCTTTCACGCTCTCTTTCCTTTGCTCTCTCGTTTTGGCTCAATGTCTCCCTGCTCGCTTTCCAGAAATAGTTGAATGATCAGTGATAAAAAAATGCAGAGAGCTGGAATGAGATCTTGTAACTCGAGAAGCACTTTGAATTAAATTCTACATAGGTAGGAAAAGGGAGTGTAAGAATTTATTGAGGTGTGATATTTAGAGTGAAATGTAACGAGATAACACTGCGCGGGCATTTGCATCTCACATCAACACAAGGAATATATTTAATCTTAGTGCCCTATGTAACAAACAACTTCAAGTTTTGATATTCGTCGTGTCATAAATAATAACAATAACACGACAGAGTTTGCATGAATCATAACAGAGTATTCTCTCTGGAACTACTGAATGCAAATAAAATCGATTTATAGGAACAAGAAATATCATTGACGGCTCAATAAGAGTTGTTTGAATAGCAATAGAGCGCGAAAGCACATATAAATCAACCTTCGGCTGTCTATCGCGTGGCATATTTCATTAATCCTTTTCTAATTAATTTATGCAGGCTGCCGAGACAAAAGTTAATCATAATCAGAAATAATTAATATATTTGTTACATACGATATGTATGTAAAATTGAATTAATTGTAACTCTCTAGAAAAGTCACCTTATATATAATATGCATACGTATATCTACATTCACTATGCGATTATTTAACATATTTTCCGGACGCCTTAAGTACGCAGATAATTATATATACAATTATATATATATATACACATATTTTGTACATTTACAATTTGTACACTGGGTTTATATGGAACAGAATGAAGATTTATAATTATCAAATCGGTACATAAGGACTGTCCGGTAATAATTTATCTGGCACATTGAGCGATGGACTCGTAATCAGTGATATCGCAGAAATATATATATGTATGTATATCGTAACGTAAATATGCTCCGTAAAAGCATTGCAACGATTCAGGACATCGAAAAGTCAAAAGCCGTGTGAGTAGCGCACTCTCACCTTAAGCACGTATCAACAGCGGCTTCTAAGAAATAATAAAAAAATAATGTATCACACAGGTGGCCAACTTACCTCGATGCAATCGAGAAATTCAAATTGACCACGCGACGATCTAGATTCAAAAGCTGTATGGAACGGAACGATTATAACGTGACACACGGTGCCGAGACACTATTCTAGAGTCACGAAAAGGCGCCAGCACAACTATACTTGTGCAACTAGGATTTTTGAGTTTCCTGATCTGCGTGATTCGCGTCATATCGAAGTAAGTGGAGATCGGATTGACCGGAGACTTTGCATCTCCGAGGAAAATACCAAAACAGGAGACGGACAATTTGACACGCGTATCGACACGGCTAGATTTTACAGCCCAGGAAACTCGTGCGAACGTTCCTCTAGAAATAACGTATCAATGCTACGTAGAAATAGCATCTACGATCTAGAATAACGAGAAGGAAAGGAATCACCTCGTGACCATTTGTAGAAACGTGCAGATTCGCAAAATACTTTCTCTCTTCGATTGTCTAAAAAAAAAAAATAACGAAAGAAAGAGAAATAAATATGCTCGACGGCAAAACGCGCACGAGGATCCTTTGCGGATCCGCCGTACCGAGCCGGTTCAACTTTAGGCAAGAGAGTATTTTCCGACAACAATCACGAGAGACTCGCACGACTCCGACTAAAGCACGGCCTCTAAAGAGTGATGTGTGGTGTGTTTCGTTGTTGCTGTTAACAACGGTGTTCGTTCATCGGTAGGATCGGACAGTAGCTCTTGTTCTTCCTATCGCAAGTCCTCCTGCAACGTGTACTCACATTTCGTCGAAGGCTTGATCCAATTTTACAATTAAACGACTTTCTGGGATCAGAAAGTACCTAAGTAAAAGCCTCTAATCAATGCCTCGCTTTTCTTGCGGGACGATCTTTATCACGCGCGACATGGACCACGCGTATATCGTCACGTTCGACATAATAGTCTTTCGTTCTGTCGCCAAGATGTACAGAGATTCGTGGAGGCAATTCGGTGAACGCGTCCCGCCCCGCGTAAGGGCGTAAAGATCTCCCTTCGACCGGCCGTTGTCGACCGCTCCCGCGTCAATGCAAGAATAATGAGGAAAATAAAGCGAAAGAGAGATGAAAAAGAGAGGAGGTCTACTGAGAGAGAGCAAGTCGGACCTGTCCCCGTCGCCGCTCCCCTCGCCGTCGCTGCTCGCGGAGCTCGGCTGCCGGCCGCTCTTACCACCGCCCGTATCCTCCGGCGGCAGGACCTCCTCGCTCCTGTGAACTGTAAAGGACGACTTCCCCTTCTTCCCGAAACCCAGCCGCCGTTTCCGTCCTTCCTCGCCCACGCATGTACCACCAACAGACGCACGTGGTATGTTATGGATTTTGCGTGATGTGATATAGTTTTTGTTGTTCGTTTCGTTTCGTTTCGTTCGTTCGTTCGTGGTTGCAAGTTGCCAGTAGTACGAGCAACAGTTGTGATAGCGTGTTGACAGTATATCGAGTTGATTTTACAGGCGTATGCGTAATTTTTTTTTTTTAAATAAAAAGTATCGGTACGAGTATTTTTTTTTGTTTTGGCGATCGGTCCAGCAAATCGATGATGATGATCCGTGTGGAGTGTTCCGTGAACACGAGCGCACGAGCACGCGGGGCGACGATCGGCCGCCGCGATGAGAGATCGTGCAGGTGGGTGCAGATCGATGACGTGAATGGTCCCCCAGCGTCGAGAGGTGGTTGGTAGAAGTAAAGTGTGAGTGTGTTCATGTCGAAGAAGAGGCAGATAGAGATGAGGAGGGATGGCGGAGAAAACAAGAATACAATTAGAATGTACATACTGCCCCGCTTATTGGGTTTTTTGCTTTGTCTACGATATGCTCTTGTTATCGTTCAATCTGTTGTCCGTTCAATCGAGTTGTAATGCAATTCGCGCGGTCGCGACCAAGACTCGTGAATATACGAAGAATAAGGTACGACGGATGAGGAATAATTAGCAAAATTATTCAGACAGACGCGCTCGACGTATCATTTGCATATTTCTTGGACGCTTTAAAAAAAATCTTACGTCTTACATTTATAAAATACTTACGTCCAAGTATTTTATATCCGGTTTGTAATCAATTGTACTGTAAAAATATTGCGCTTCGTGATTCATTAGAATCGAGATCGCTCGCAAATACTTTCTCGTTCACGCATCGTTGCGATGCTTCGCCCTTTATCCGCGGTTCCTCATTCTTCATTCGTGTTTCGACCGTAAGACGTAATCGGAAATTTCTACCGTGCGCGCTCAAAGCTATCGAATTCATCTTCGTTAAGGTTTAACAAAGTGCGTATCGACGACGTATTTGCATCATCCTCATTTGTATGTACGTAGCGAGAGCACACCGTGATAATCTACACACTAACGATGCTAGACTACTCTATCCTAATTTACGAAATATCGATGTTCTGAAGAGAACGATATCCTTTTCACTAAAGAGAGAAGATATAAACGTCAGGAAAAATAGAAAAACTGTCTAATGTCGCGCAAGATGGTGTCATACATCGATCAAACGTTCTAATATCGCGCACCGGGAGACGTTACTTCCGCGCGAGCGATCGATCTTTACGAAAAATCACGACTACGTATAACACGTAGAGACTAAGCGCAAACTTAACTAGAAATGGTCAGTGTGACAATGTGTTACCTGTCGCGGACAATTGGCTGGTGCTATTGCTCTTCTTGCCCAGACCCGCCTGGTACTGCACCGCGCTTCCGCTACTGCTGCCGCTTCCGCTTTTACTTCCGGGCGAGCTCTTGCGGGCTCTCCTCGCTGCGTCTTCAACATTCAACGCAATCGCGGTGTCGCTGTAACTACCCGTGTCTGCGAAACAAGGACATGTATTTGTACACGTTTGGAATGAGACTAGCGCGGTCCGAGGGCGAAGAGCAACTCTACTAAAAATCAAAACCTGGGTCCACACATATCTGTGCACGTTATCGTACTCTTTTTTCGACATCAGTTTGAAAAATAAAAGAATGCAAGCACGGAGCTTAAAGGAATAGAATAGTTTATAACTTCGATTAAAATTATATTACTTAACTTAGTATTAATTATTGTAACTATATTAACCTATATTAATTATTAATTATATTAACTTTGATTATAAATGTTGTAACACATATTAAAATAGAATAGTTATACAAAATGTAAAGAACAATGCGTGCTCGATCTTCACTATTGTTGACGGACAGAGGAAGATATTCGTGACTTTGTAGACTCAAAGAGAACTGTCGGATCGCATGAATACATCCGCAGTTTAGTAACTACCGCTGAATTCGAATGCAACGACTGAAAATCTTAACGAAAATTTGTGTTACACTTCTGCCACGTACGATCTTCGCTCGGTACACGTTGTGTCTTTTTAAAAGAATATCCATAGGTATTAGCAAAAACTCGAAGCTAGTCATCAAACAAAATGTCTATTAAAAGCAAAATGTGAGACAATGTGGAGAAATCAACTTGAAGGCTGAAAAGTTAATTTCAATGAGCTTTCGACATTATAAATGTGCAACAATGTGTTTGAAGTGCGATTACGACTCGTGATGATAGAACTGATTGACGTAAAAGGTACATTTTGTCACTGAGAAATGAAATTTGTCGAGATAACATTCCAATCTTTGTAAAGAATAACATTATGGTCGGTGTAAACTTTGTCTCTCTCACCTTTCTCGTCCTGCGGCACGTCGGCGTTACTGAGACTCCTGGTGAACTGACTTCTCTTGTCGTGCTCATCGTGCCCGTTATCGGTGACCTGGCGTCTGGACGTCTTCTCGTACGAGCTCGACTGGCTGGTGTACTCGCTGCTTTCGGGCATAGATGAGGAACGACGATTCCGAGCGTCGTCGTCGTCGCGACGAACGGCGACGGCGGCGACGACGTCGACGTCGTAAGCGGATTTTTTTCGGGGCCGTCGTCGGGCGGACGACGAGGACGACGGCGGCAACGGTGGCAGGAACGTCGACGCCACATCGGCGACATTGGCGAGCGGCGACGTTTTCGTGTTTTGTGGGTGTTGGTGGTGATGATCGTCGATCCGTGGGTGGTAGTTTTTAGCAGTGTCGGAGGTAGCGGTTTGGGAATCAAAGAGACTCGAATTAGCGTTACCAGGGCGGGGTGCTCGGTTACGGGGCCTACGCGGATCGCACGGGCCAAATCCGCAGTTCTCGCTGCACTGGCTCTCGCTCTCCATCGAGTACTCGTAGTACTCGAGGGTGTCGCTGATCGCTACGTTCCTCTTACTACTTCCCTGCGGTTGCTGATGCTGCGCTTGCTGGTGCTGCTGGTGCTGCTGTTGCCGTTGCTGGTGCTGGTACTGCTGCTGGTGCTGCTGCTGCTGCTGCTGCTGCTGATACTGCTGACTCGGGTGCCGCTGTTGCTGCTGATGGAGCTGCATGAGCGGCTGCTGACGCTGCCTCTTCTCGAGCATTTCGAGATCCCTAGCCTCCGGACAGCTGCTGTTCCGCCTACGATATCTATGCTTCGTCTCTAACGATGAACGCCGAGAATCGTCACCCTTCCGCGATAACGATCCCGACCTACCTAACTCCGAGGAGGACAGTGCTAGCTCACGACACTCCGGGCAACTACTCTTACGCCTAGCGCGCGACGCGTGTCGCGCCTCACGACTCGAACGCTGCGACCCTGACCTAACTAGCCCGCGTGCCACCGGATAACTGCGATCCTGATATCGGTCCTCGTGATCGTATCTTGCGTCTAAGTAGCTACCACGATCTTGTTCCGCGTCAAATAAGCTCGATCTAATGCCGTCGCTCGGTCTAGCGTCCGCCACGTAGCCCGAAGTACGACGGAAATAATCGGCGCCGACTACCGTCTCCATCGAGCCGAACTCCTCGTCAGAGTCCAGCACGATACTCGACGTTCTCTCGTCGACGTTTCCTCGCGGGCGGTACATTCGCAGATCTCTGCTCTCTGGACAGCTGATGTTTCGCTTGCGGCGGTACATGCGTCTGGCGCGATCCGCGGTCGAGCTCAGCTCCTCGTCCGAGTGTAGGGTCGGCGTGGACTCCGTTCGTTGGAGCGTCATCAATCTCTTGCTCTCCGATAATCTAAACTGAGTGCCTGACATGTCTCTGGCCCGCAGGTGCTCGTAGTCACCTGCGCCTCCCTCTTTGCTGCCTCTCCTGCTTCTTCGTCTTCGTCTTCGCGGTATAGATCCATCGTCGTACGCCTTACCGATACCTGCGCTGTGCGTATACTCGTAGTCGTCGGACGAACGATAACTCGTGTAATCGCTCGTCGCAAGCTTCCTGTCGTCATCGTCGGATTGTGCGTAACATTTTCCCTGAACGGTGCAAGATCGTTTCGTCTCGTCGTGAAAGTACTCGCCTACGCGCATCGATCTGCCGATCCTTAAGGCAGAAATGCCTTTGTCTAGGTAACTAAACTGCTTCTGTTCGTAGCCTTCGACTTTCTCCCGGTCTATAAATCCTTCGTCGTAGTCGGCGTCCCAACTCTCGCGATCCTTGTACTCATCCTCTTGATAGGAACGATTAATTGCTCCGCGGGATCGCAAGACGTCTTTCATGTTCTTTGGCATCCACTCGTCCATGTTGGTGGCGTCATGGATCTTCGTGGCGGACCTCGCGAGAATATCGCGATCGTAAGTTTTACTGGACGAAAGAGCCTCCTCGATACTGCAATAGATGTTATCGATCGAATTACGAGGATCGCTATCTACACTCTTGGTCCTCGTCTCCGAAGATATGTCTCTGATATACGAGGAGTCGTGATTCAAGTAACTTCCGTCCATATATTTTCTCTTGCTAGTGTCATCCTTGTCCAGAATATTCCTAAGATTAGCAGGATCGTTAGCGCTAAAGAGATCATCATTGTCGTCCGTTAAACGGGAACTGTACGAGGCTTGATAGTCGTCGGTCCCGGTGCTCTGTTTGTCGAAACTCGGAACGTAAATCTCCGTCTCGCCGCAGCTAAGCTCCGAATCGTATCCATAAAACGGCTTGTGGTCCTGATCGAGCAGAAAATCGTAATTTGTCTCTTTGCTCGCGAGACTCGTAGGCACTTTATCGTCACCGTTAGAATCGAAGTAGGACTTGCTCTGATCGTCCAACGCCGGTATCTTGTCACCGTACCCGGCGTCGCTGAGAGAGAGATTCCGCTTGAGCTTTCTTCTGGCCGTCCTGAGACTGTCGTCGCTGAATATGTTGCTCGAAATGCTCTCGTACTCGAAACTCTTGGCCCGGCGCGATAGCAGACCGACGGCCCCTGGCCTAGTACCGAAACGATCACCGTATGTATCGTGCATCACGTCGTAATCGAAGCTCCTAGTCTTAGCGGACAAAAAAGACCTACGCGGATGCAATCTAGCGTCTATGCTCCTAATATCGAGATGGTCAGGGAGGTCGATCGGATCTCTCGAGACAATCGGTCGCCTTGTCCTCGTCGTCGTCGTCGTCGTCGTCGTCGCCGTCGCCGTCGTCGTCGTCATCGTCCTCATTGCCGCGGAATCGTCGCGTTCACGCGACAACATATCGAATCCTCCCGCGAGATACGGCGCCGAATACTTGGAACGAAACTTCTCCACAAAACGATCGTTAAAGTCGACCCGGAGGCAATCCTCGATGTATGTCGCCGGTATACGATTCTTAGCGCTACTAGCTACGAGTCTCTCTGGCTTGAGTATGTACCCCTCGGAAACGCTGTACTCGCTGGTCTCGGAGCTGTAATATCTCAGCATGTTCTCGTCGACGGTCTGCGATCTCGTGAATGGCGTACACATCTTTTTGTACAACGAGCGTACCACTGCGGACTTGCTCCGTACGAGGGGATATAGGGTGGGACACTTGCTAGGGTTATTGCTTCTGGGCTTGGTGGGACAGTGACATTCGCTGCAGGGTATCCTAAATTTGTGCCTGCGCCTATTGCGCCTAGGGGGCGGGGGTATGGGGGATATGGCACCGGGTATTAAAACGTTTTTAACTGTCGGTCTGCAAACAATGTTTTTTCATATAGAGAGTTTTGCGCTCTTACGGGAACACAACCAAAGGGGTGAGCCCATTCCGGTTTTCATCATCTTTCTTTCGCTCCCTTTTTATTCCTCCCTTCTTTTTTGCTCTATTTAACCGCGCGTTCGCGATCGATCGAACGCATATCGGTCATTAACATCTCAAAACTCGACTCTGTCGACTCGCCGAGAACAACGGGTCGGCATTTCAGAAGAGACACGCGGCGATCGATGTACTTCGCAATGCCATTTCTTCTTTACTATGACGCGACGAGGCACAACTACCTAACCGTTCGACCAACGCCACGCACTGATCCCTGCTTTCTTAGAATGGGGCACTAATTAAATGGACATTGACACGGTGCATAGGAAGTGCAATCTAATCGCTTCGTAAAGAAGGCGGGAGGGATATCGGAAGACTTGAAACGTACACAAGCAGGATGTGAAAATGTGCAGCTACGGGATATCCATTTAGTTGACAATGTCCATTTAATCCAGGGATTTTACTTGACTCAAGAGGCTGAGCCGATGAGTGTGCTATTTCTCAGAAGATTGATCTTAATGTATCGTCAGACATAAAAGACATATAACGGTCCTGATATTGCAACGATATATGTTCAAGCTGTATGACAAGCACACTCGATGCTCGGATCCTCTTTTCTAACGGGGTACTCTCTTGAATCTGCGTTGCTTTGCACATTGATTGCCGCAACGCGAGGTGGTCCGTATGGCAAAATAACGGAAATTTAATTATGAAACTATACTCACATTAGGGCTCTCGATCCACGTGGTCGTTCCGATTGCGTACTAAAGGCACTGCTCGTTACCGAAGCTATGCTTTCCATGTCAGAATCTCCAAGATCGCCGAGTACATCTTTATCGGGACTCAAGTGACCTCTCCTCGACCTGTGCAATCTATGAGCGTGACTATGTGGCAATGTTAGTGGGTCGTGTCCGATTGAAGGAAGATCCGAGTCCGAAAGACCGCTGTAATGCCTTTCCCAGCCTGGAAATGAATTAATTAATTATTTAAGATGTAACAATAAAAACTTTATTAAATATAAAAGGAATAAATTAATATATTTATATTATATTTAAAGAATAAATTATATATACAATATATTAGATATTGTATTAAAATATATTTGTGTCCATTCTTTCTTAGTTTAGTTTTCAATTAAAAAATATCAAACAAACACATATTCTCGATTGAAAACGTTGAAACTCACCTCCCATACCCGTGCTCCTGTATATAGACTGTCTGTTGCGGTGTCTCATGAATCTCGTTGGTTCGCCAAAATCTTGCGCGACTCTTTCCTTCAAAGCTGCTGGGATTTGAGGTAGCTGACGTTTCTTCGGCGATCCGGTAGGTGTGGCGGTCGCCGATCTCGAACCGAATCTAAATAAGAGCAACGGTAAGCCCACTGTGTTCGAGCTTGTAATCGAGACAATGTCAAAGAGTTTTCCCCGTGATATTTTACCTCGGGTGAACATATCCATGCGAGTAGGGGATGGATCTGTGCTCGGGTGGAGACAAGGAACGATGACCGGTGGGACTCTGAGATCTTCCGCGGTATCTGACACTCGGAGAATCCATAGGTGCCGCGCTGTGCGACCTGTGACCCATCATTCCCCGATGGATCTCGTCCTGCGGTACATATTTAATGTACAAGGATGCACCTCGATAAATGTTGTTTATTTAACGACATTTATGTGCAGCGATGTCTCGTGCACAGCAGAGTATCTATCTTTTTTTTATTTGCGTAATCATTAATTAACTTCTGCGAGCTATTTTTTCCTTAGTTAAAAATTTCGATCCAAGCTCAAACACACACCTGTGCGCACGCGACACACACACACGCACACACACTCTTCTCGTTCTCCCTCTCTTTCTCTGTTGTAACTCGTAAATACTCGATTTTAGCATGTGTGCGATCAATACTCAAATTAAACTTATAGCCAAACGTTGCCAAACATTTACCTTACGATATGTCTGATAACTCGAGATAGAAGCAGGTTGGTCACGAGAAATCATTAGGGCTGCCCTTTTGCGCCCCTGAGGCGACATGTCCCTTCGACTCCGATGTTCGCCATCGATGCAGAGTTCCCTCTCCGGCGGCGGGCTAGAATAGTGGCTGCTCCAGCATGCGTTCATTTTTTTTTATCAATCAGTGAATGCTGCGTGCCTTACAAGTTAAATGAGGCGAGTGCTGTGATCTCGCGCTAAAATGCATGCGGCCAGGATGGTGGGGAAGCAGAAAAGATGTTGAAATGCTGGGAATGAGAATGAGCTACACAGCACCGAGAGGACGGAGTCAAGACGTTGAGATAAGAACAAGATCCGGCAAAGTCCTCTCGCTCGTTAACGCTACCCTCTGAATTTTCATCGTTTTTGGCGCACAAGATACAAGCGTGAGCTCAATTCGACTCTTCAGATCGCAAACTGCGAATGCATATCTTCTAATTTGGCGCGAAGCAGCTCCAAGTTACTCGGCAATGCAGTCGAGCGTTCTCTTTGGTGTTCTCGATCGCGCGAGGCTCCATTCGTTGCCAAAAATGTGAGTACGCGCGACAAAAAAGACAGTGACTCGTCATAAATTAAGAATATGCCGTGTAAGTGCGTTCGATGAGTGCCAAGTACTGCGTAAGTATTACACATCGGAAGAGGACGACCGTGCTGAGACGTGTAAGGATACAAAAATCCGGAATAACTGTCATCATTTTTGGCAACGGAAAGCAACGTGCCGACGGGCAAGACAGTCAAACCGGTAAAACCGGGCGAATTGCAATCTAAGCTTCGCGAAACTCAATCCACCCCGGCCGATGCACTGCAATGCACTAAGCACTCTAGAAGCCATGTCTTGTCGCATCTAATATAATATGCATATATGCGAGAAGCAATGACAGCATGACGTCTAAATGGATGGCTATTCGCTAAATATTCGCACCCGACATCCCGCTGTTCATTTCACTGCGTTTCCGCGCCTTGAAAGAAAAAAACGAAGACAAAGGACAGACATTGTCCCGACAATTTTGTTAACACCGAAACGTCGTGCATTGCAATATCCACCGACTCGCGTGTACGACATCGCGCGTGGAAAAGGGCATTAGAGATTTGCGTCTGATTGCCGATGTTTCCCCGTGTCATCGATAACACACCCCGTATCACAGTCGTTTCTTCCTTTTCGTCGGGGAAAAAAAAAGAAAGAAAGGACCTTCTCTCCCTCCCATCCCCCCCTTGTAAGTAATATCCTCGTCAAATGAAGGTTTCTCGCGCCTTTGCTGTCCGTTCTTAAATTAAATTAGCTACGTGATCACGTCAGTACGCGTCCCATTGTCTCGTCCCTATCGCATCTCCGGCTTGAGATGATCCGTCGGCAAGACTAACTTGACTGATCTACGCGCAATACATCAGAACCTAGCGGTGAGGATGCAAGACGGTGTGACTGCGTGATTCGTGAGAGAGGAGAAGATATAAATTGTAATGGCCGTACCGCTTATAATTTGACGGCATATTATGAAACCTAAAAAATAAATCACAAAGCACACGATTAAAATCAAAATCAATGGGCGGTGGCGCGGCCGCGGCCGCGGCGTCATTGTCTAATGTTTCTTATTTCTCCATACAGATCATAACATTTCAATGTAAAACACTTTATCCGCATTTATGCGCCTCAATTTCAACTGCAAAGAATGTGTGTCCGACTATAAATCTCTGTACGTAAACGCGTAATATTTTTTTATATTTTATGGTTAAATGTGGTATCGTGTAAACGCGAGGAGAAATGGAACTTGCAAGACAATGTGAGTGTAAATTTTTGTTCTTTGTAGTTCCCGTATCCGCGGTGGATCAGAAAAAGTATCCGTACTTCATTATCTAATGCAATAGTGTGTATATACGCTCGCGTAGAATTATAACAGAAATATTTTATCAAAACGCACACACGGTCCATTGCGTTAGTGCCGCCGGCTTAGTTTCACGACGATGGATATGTTAATGTAGCTGGCGAAACCCTTTCGAATAATCTCATTAAACGATATTGAAGGTTGTTTAAATATGTGCAGGATGTCCGCCGCTCTCAGAGCAGAACCGGAATGTTTCAATTATTCGGAGAAAGCTTTTACAGGCTAATGCGCGCTTAGGGATAGAAGCGCCCGCTTTGCAGATCGAAGCGGTGTAAAAGAAGCGCAGAGCGATGCCGGATAGTATCTCGGCTTATCCCCCATCTCTGCCACTCTACCTGCCAAGCCTATCCAAGATAGCCTACGTGTTCATTGAATCCACTACATTGATTCGATTTGCCACGTGTATCGTGTATGAAAAAAAATTTATGGACGAGCTACCTTTTAGAGCGAGAGCAAGACGCGTCGTTGGGACAATTTCGTGAGGTCTACTTATCAAATATATCGGGGATTATAAACGTCGTGCGTATATCACGTAAATTGTGTTGTCGCTCAATCATTAATAATTGAACGTTTGCATTACGAAAGTTTCACCGGTTTCACGTTTTCATAACTGACAATGAGTAATTTATCGCAGGTGCAGTTGCATTTAACTTTTATCTCTGAGATCAATTAACGCGGCAGCGATTTCGTGCGATTTTGAATAGATTCATTATCACGGATGACAAACACTTTAGACTGTTATCTTCTTTAGTCACGTGCACTTTCTTCCGTTTGCATGTAAGTGGAAACTCGAAAACTTGTACACAAAAATCACTTTATACTCCGAAATAACGATCGGACATCATCGTTAGAATATTAATATGGATACGAGTTTAAGACTGACTTCCGGAGCTAGCAACGGTCGTGAGCCAACTGCTATGTCAATTGGCTTGTTGCCCAGTTTTATAACTTGGCTCTTACCCTCTCTCTTTCTTTCGATTGACCCCTCCCGTTCGAGTCTTGTCTTCTTTTTTCTTAAATTTCCGTTCGCAATCATTTATTTTATGTGCTCGTACTTGTCTCTATTTTCCCACTGCGCTTGGCTTACGTTTTAGTCGTATAAGAAAGAAGAAAAATCAGATCTCTCGTTACCGGTTGCCGCTTCCAAAACTCTTCACGCAAAATATTTTCAAATTATTTAAAAAAAAAGCAACGACTCCACGATAGTTTTACGGCAAACAATCGATAAAGAGACGCTAAAACAGTGCAGTAAAGAAAAGAAATGAAAACTCCTTTATCGTACATTCATCTCAAGCCATGTATAAAGTTCCCCCTAATCGCGTAGATTGAATCAAACGTCTGATTTTAACGGAAATATTCTGACGGGAGGAATTCTTGCGGGAAAATACCCCGTACGCCGAAATAACGTTTCCTAATAAAGACCGCGATACAGGGAACACGAGAATGACTATTGCGTAACCATAACGATAATAGTTACGAGATCTCAAAACTAGATCTTAAGTCGGGAGGCGGTAACTCTGCCAGATTACTAATGCAATTCCTACCGATCAAGTACGCCGATTGTAACGCATTTGGGTAACTGCTGCATTTAGTTCTCAATAATAGTATCAATTCGATACCTCGCACAAACGTTTCGATTTGCGTGTGACGGACTTACGCGATGTACAACGCAGATATCCTAAGCTAGTTGAGCTAGGCGACTTTTTTTTTCCGGCAACTTCAATATACTCGCTTTCATTAAAACAGAAGACTTATATATACTACGAAAATTTTAAGAGAACGGCCTTACCTAGAGGAACTGCCGATACTGCTTATGCTGGCGCCGTCAGCCGTTCTCCTTTGTTCTCTCGACACGTCGCAATCCGTAATGTCGCACTCCGAGGTGTCGGAGTCGCTTAATCTCGACGCGGTCGACAGCGGACTAAGATGACACTCTATCATGTCATCAGAATCTTGGTAATGCCTGAAGGGTGAAAAATTATCTCAGCGATAGACACTATCGTTTTGTGTAGAGACTTCAAGTTTTATTCCTTTAAAGGCGTAAAATAACGAAGAACAGATTCCTCTTCGTTTTTAAATGCAAACCTCTGACACCCGCGAGATAATGTTACGTCATTTTATGCAGAGCGAGGTATAACATGAGAACATTGTCAAACATTCCGCATAGGATTCGTATCGATTCGAGGTATTTATTTGATCGCTTTTAGCATTGGAACTACTAGCATCCGCGAGTGCGATTCATACCTGACGTGCCGGTGTTCCCCGTGAGCGGTCAGAGAATGCCATTCTGGTTCATCGTCCAGGAGACATACTGCCAATTCCAGGACAGCCTCGCCGAGGAAATCGTTCGCCTCGTACCTAGCGTAGTCCCAGACCGTAATCTCTAGTGCTCGCTTCCTCAGCTCCGAGCGTCTGACTCCATTATAAACGAAAGTCTGATTCCATCTGGGATCGTTCGTGTTCGCCACAGTCTTCGTGCGTCGTTTCGACTTTTCGCTACAGCGACAGTTAAAAAGATACATCAATTCTAAATACATCTGGAAGATTAGTCCGCAATTACGTTAGACTAAAATGATCTGCGAACCGATTAGTCGTCGTCAGGGGATTAGAAAACAAAACCAATATTGATATATGTATATATCAAACGATATATATATTTCAGGCGTATTCGAGTTGAAATAAATATCGAGGCATTTACAGATTTACGTATATTTTTCCGAAATTTTCAATCGCTCGAAAATATTATCGTAGGGTAATTCGCTCACCTTTTGTCAGGAAGCAGAAAAACTTTGGCGTAAGGGTTTCTGGGTTGGCCGTTGCTCTTTGGCGTGAGCCCCGCGGCGCATATTATCGTGACGATCAGCTGAAGTCCCACGGGATCGAAGCCCAGCTTCACCTGGATACTACCGCCCACGTTCGCATTTCCGGTCGGATGTCGGGAGTGTCGACCGCGTCCTTGGGCGTGCAGGTCCGGCGAGCCCGGCGACGTCACTAAAACCGAGGGTTTCTCACGCCTCGCGTCGTACAATTCTGCAAGTGATCGTGCAGCTTCGACTAGGATACAACTTGTTTTCGTATCTGCGATCTTGCAGCGATTCACGAGAAAGGGTACGCGAGTTTCATCGAGAGCAAAATAACGAGTAGAAGTGAAAGACGACGGTAAATGAAGAAGTAGTAGAAGAAGAAGATATATTCGGTTGATCCAGTGAATGGACGAACTTTCATGCTTTCATCGCGCTAGCACATTCATTGCCGCTCATGATGATCGGCAGCGAATATGTTAATATTCACGTCTTGTACGTTAAATGAATGCTCAAACGACAGAAAGACTGAAAATGTTCGAGATGTCCAAAGTAGCGTTCGGAAAATCAGGGAACGTCTGTTGGAGAGATCTCTGCGTCGATCGGGTACTTGAGTGTTGCGAAATTATAGATGCGAAAACCAAGTTCTATCTCACAGCGTCATCGAACCCCCGGGGATGTTGCAAAATCGATAAACTATTTCTGAACAGTTCGGGAAGCACCCACGTCTTTCGAAGAAGTGGAGTCCGCATGCACGGGTTCTCACAATCACGGAAATCCGTGACAACGAGCCACGAAAGGAACGGGGCGGGGGGGAGTGATTTTACGATAATAATATTAGATCGATATATAGTACAGATAATAGATAGTGGCGAAAATAGCAAATTACACTTATCCATAATAAGGGTTACACGAGATACTCGTGATTTGTTATAAGTAGAGAGGAAGCACAATGTGTGAGGGATTTATATAAATATATATCGGCATCTTTATATCCTGTATATACATGTAATATAGTTGTTGCTCCCATAAGACTATATCTATATAACTGTGCTCTTTTAGCAGTGGGAGGAGGAGGGGTGCATTGGCACTACGATCTACATCTACGTTAAACATCGACGGTAATATACTCAAGGCAGAATAAACGGTAAATCAACTTTCGTTGCTCCGCCGTACGACTTGCCGTGGCATCGAAATCACGGTTCCGGCCCCGTTTGTTGAGATTTGAGAAATCTCACGAAACGGCCGTCGATAACGGAGATAAAGGGCTAATGGTGCAGGCAAGAAACACCGATCAATCGAAAATGGTTTAAAGAAAGCTGTCTGAGGCCTACCCCATAGTAAACATTTCTTAAGACCTGAAATGCGAAAAGACTATGTAGTCGACGGCAATAGCGTTGCTTCTGGTACGTTTAATACGTATACTTATGCGTGAGTGACGCAGTAATAGTAACGAGAAGCGCAATACGCCGTTTTACGTTTAATGGGATTTAAGTGGCATCGATAAATATTTCATCAGTCGGAATAATAAATGTCCAGCTCTTCCGTCTTTAAAAATTAGTCAAGTATTACGGACATTACGCGTGCTACTTTTTTTTTCCGATTACGCTTGAAACTTGTGCTGCTTCTCTTACATCGTTCACCTTTTCTATATCTCACCCAAAAAGATTTACGGATCAAATAAAATAAGCTACGTTAATTTTTCTTCAACTAAAGGAAAAACTTTTATGCGCTTTATACGATTCTCTAATAGTCGCATTCAGCTTGAAAGGCAACGCATCTTCCTAACGCACTCTTCTCTAACTCTTCGGTGCTACACCCAAACTGACATCCTGAGAAGAATGAAAGAAGAAGGTCTACCTAAAATGGTCTATTTCACATCCCTTTTCATCAATATATAAGATTTACTTCTTGTAGCGTCCATGATATTTATCAATTGTAAGATAACGGCACTATAAGCCCATGCACGACTACCATGTTGTATCAAATCGATGGTAAGTATATTTAGAGTTGTACAAAAAAAGATATATTCCGAGTTTGAACGGAACGAGTCAGTGATAAGATAATCTAGATCACGACATTTGTGATACACAGAAGCGAGATCAAGTAGGAAGACGGCCGGAAACGGAACGTGCTCAGTGCATAGTCACCTTTGTGATGCGGCGTCGGAGGCCCGGAGATGGTCTCGTGTTTCTGTCTCCACTGGCTCTGGGCGACGATTCTCCTGGACGCCATGGGCGTCGATGGGCCCGGTCCTGCAGGCGCCATGCCCGTCGTCGTCGACGACAACTTTCTCTCAACTACCAGCTCGATCTGCGGCTCCAGCCTCGACTCGGCGATGATGTCGGAAACCTCCCGGAAGCTCTTGCCTCGAAGGGACCTCCCACTCCACGAGATCACCTCGTCACCTGAAACAGCCGCAGGAGATCGTCGAACGTCGTCCGATTCGTTCTTATGAACGGTCGTGGGAACGGGGACGGTTGCTCGCGATTGTTACGAGCTTTGTCGACAAGCCGTGCGCTTTCAAGGCGTTAAAGCTGAAGGCACGGATTATCACGTCGAAATGTTCGTGAAACAATCGAGGCACGGATTTTTCATTAATACACTCGATTAGGAACGCTGCTACACCCATCGTTATCAAATATATAACTGACGGCATATAATTTAACTTCCCTGATTCTCATCGAATAAAATAAGCCTTTGCAAGTTTTCTTGTAATTTTATTGACTTAATGCGATAACAATCAATAATATTGATTGATTGAGAACCAATGGTTAATTTCCGACTACGAGCTTTCTAAAGCATATAGCGATAAAAAGATTTTATAACATAAAGTGTATCTCGTAAAACGTTTATCATCGCGTTCAATTTCATACTTTGCGTTTGCCGTAATTAGGCGCTCACGACTTGGACAATTCGAAAATTCTTCGAATTGCTTGGTCCAAACTTTGTAATCTTCTTACCAGGTCTAAAATCACCTTCTATGTCCGCCGTGCTACCCTCTTTCACCTTCTCGATCAGTGCGCCCATGGAACCATCTTCCAATAGCTTGCCACCGACAACTTTTAGTCCGAGTATACTACTAGAGCTTCCGGAGCCGGCCGTTTTTCGCAAAACCATGTGGCCGATAATCTTCTGACCGTCCTCGCTCACTTGCCAGGTTAATGGATGCTACGGAGCGCGGATAGTATTTCTTTTACTGATGATGGGTGATCACATGCCTTTATAAACCGTTAACAATGCGGAACGTACGTCCGAATTCTGAATCGAAATACGCTTACACAGGTTGATTGAATAATAGAGAAGAGCTAAGAGACATTTTATGATACACGACATTAAGTTAAAAGCTAATATGACTTTATTGTAAAATGTACAGTTGATTTGTTGTGAAGGTAAATTAGTCACAAGTCGTTCTAGAGACTCGTTTATGTGAAATTCGTATAATTTTGTCGGTTTCCAGTATTCTGACGTATTTCCATTGTTTATATTTGTCAATTGGAACAAAACTAATAGAAAACAATCGCAACACACATCAGTTTACAAATACTACTGAGAAATGCCTTGCATGTTGCAGCAATACATTTCTCTTCGCGCGGAGTACTTGAGTAAAAATGTAGTTTTTAAATTAGCGTAAGATTTGAAAGGATACGGATAGACAAAGTGTACCGATACAAAAAGAGCCAAGGATGGCATAATTAATTAGAAAATAGGGACAACGTTAATTGAAACAAAATGTTCGTCTTTCACGACGTCTTTCGGTATCCTCGCAAAAAGGCTGTCTTCAATGGTTTTCAACGATCTAGAAAATTTACAGAGCAACAAGCAACGAGCGCAGTTGTAATACGTACAAAAGCGAACAGTGGTGCTTCATGCGCTGCATGCAGTGACTAGCAAATATTACAATACGTAAGGCATTCTGTACCGCATGCATCCCGCACCTGTCAAATTTTCGACATCCGAAGGCTTTCGATAATTTCAGTAAGAAAAACATGCACGTACTGCAAGCATGCAAATATTACACTGCGTGGGTCAATATGCGTAATATTGCGTACAAATCCTGAGCGTGATGTATCTCTATCTGAGAACGACACGATTCACCAGGTGGATCTACTTTAGGGAGAGGGGTCGCCTCTTTTTGATTTCAGTCCTGTCGTATGTTGAACTTGTCAACATCTAATGCGCGATTCATAGAAGGACAGAATTTCAGTCCCAATTTCTATCCGTAAAATTATTACTATTCGTGTCTTTTCACCGTAGTGGATTTAATGACAGCACTAATCCTGCTTGGACATTGCTGCAAAATTACACAGCTCAGTCTACACAATCGGTCATGTATTCTCAAAAGTCCACAGATTTCTGTGGATTCAACTGCGTGTTTTTATGATCCATTTCTACTTTTACGCCAGTAAAATGTTTCAAGTAATTTCAGTTGTTATAATAACGATGCTTTTAATCGCGTTGTAACGCAAGTTGAAAGTCCGAATTTCCTGTCAGATATAATCGAATCGCCGAGCTGGCAGGATTGAATGCCAGACGGCAATTAAGATACTCGCGATTAAAGAATGATATGAACCTCTTTCATTTGTACAACTAACCGCTCGGAAAACGTAACAATTGAAGAGATATTAAAAAAATCCTTTGCTCAGAACTGATCGACGACAACTAACGAGGTCGTCAAGCCTCGTCAGTTGCGATACCCTTTGGCCACGATCCAATTTGATTAATTATGAAACAGATACACTTTTCTTTCGAGAACTCGCAGCTTCGGCAGTCCGTTAATTGGATCGTTTTGGACCAGTGGTTCGCCTCGCGCAAAAATCACGTAAAATTCTTTAAATTACTAAAATACACAGTTGACAAAGGGGTAACAGCGCGATGCACTTTTATCGGATAAGAGCTGCGCCTGCCGGGACGCGACACGATCATCGATCGGACGCAATCGTGCGAATTAATTCCCACATCGCCCAGTTCCGTACCTTTCTCCTTCGATTTGTTCGACGAAGTCGGTAGAAATCAATCGCGCTCGACGGTGTTTAGTTTCCTCGTTTTTGCCTTCATGCATCGCAATCAGTTTCCACTTTTACCCCCCGAGAAAATAGAAGCAAGCCTCGACTTACGTGACTTGTTTGGAAAACAGAAGTGAAAAAGATTGATCCCGATCGAGTTGCTTCAAGAGATACGTAAGTCGTTGCCAGATAAATTACCCGATTGCCGACCGTTTACCCGGGGAATTTAATCTTAGTTATTTGCTTCGTATAATTGGACCGCGACCCCCGCAGCCTAACTCCTTCGTATATCGAACGATGAGCCGTGCACGCAATATTTTGCCCATTTGAATGTAAACCTTGCGAAAATGCTCAAATCGGCAGCCGAAATCGCCCTCGTGAAATCTATTTTCCGGATAATGTATCATTAATTAGCATATCTAGTACTTGTATAATTTTCTTAACGTTCTCGCGAATAATTCACTTTAAAAATGTTATAGATCTTTATTTGCCCATAATTGTGAAGAAACTAAATTTTATATCGCTATATCGTCAGGAGGATTTAAAGTATCAATCAACGTTATACATTTTTGCTGGCTTCGACTAAATAGATATCAAATCTCCATTCCTATTGAAGTATTCGTAATCGATTATATAATATAACTTTGTTTTATGGTTAGAAATCAGTGGAATTATCCTATATCTTTTCGTAATAGAAAGAAGTATATAATAATCTATAATCAAATCGTGATTATCCACTTTTGTTATTCGCCGAGTCTATTGATTCGTTTATACAGAATATGTTCTATTTTCACAAAATAGCAATCAAACACACACACACATCCATTTATATTAAACTGGCGAATGAAAATAGCAAGAAGGATTTTGTGTAATAACCAACGCCATTTTCTCCCTCTAAAGATATTTCCAGAGGAGTTTACACGCCGAATATTGAATCAATTACCTGCAACTTCTTGTACGTTTTACATTATATGATGTAACTTCCGAAAATTTAATTGGGCGGCCGTGCTTTAACTTGGAAGTGGCGTAAAAGAGAAATGAATATCAGAAATTATATTCATTATTTAAAACTACATAAATCTTCTTCGTCGCTATTGAATCTATGTCATTGCGAAACTCGAGGAAAATTACGGCAGATTTTAGGCAAAAGAGGCACGATGGATTGGAGTCGAAAGAAGCCTGACGCAAGAGAATTGTACAGAAGACAATTTTCTGCTGAAAATTTCTGAATTCACGGAGTATCGTGGACGGCAATTAATAAAATAAATTTCCCTTTTTTTTTTCTTTACTAATCCCATCAGTGTTTGTCATACAAATGATAATCGATAACGTTAGCACTGTCGCTAATCTGAGTAAAGAGACAAAAGTGAACGATAGTCCGTAATTTCAGTGCCGGGAATCCAAATAAGCTTGAATTTTATATCAACGCTGTAAGTTGTACAAAAAAAGCCGACATAAATCATACAAACGAACCTCGATATAAAAACGAACACAAGCACACAAGCCTTTAAGCACGAAGTTTAGGGTTAATCGAGCAAAAGAGGTTCTCTCTCCTGTCAGCATAGATAGAAGGGAAAAAAAAAGAATCAAACGTTCAAGCATAATTTCGTAATTACGGCGTGTGTAATAAATAAATAAATAAATATATATTTATATTTATATATCTCTCAGTTCGCACATCGATCGGTATCAGTGGTCTCAGCGCGATCAACTGCGCAATTCTCCACTCCCTGAAACTTCGGCTCTCCTGGCACACGGTACACATTGTGATCCGAAAGTAACTAATTACAAGTGCTGCACGCTAATTACATCAATTAGCAAGCCACCTCTTCAATGCACCTCTTCGCTACGCTATCGAAGCTAGGAGCGAGAAAGAAAACAACCGTAATTCCACTTTGGACGACGTATTCCACTTTGGATCCGCCGCGATTGGCGCTTGGAGTAGATCGCGCGCGGAAGAGAGTGATCATTGCCGAAGATGAAGTACCGAGTTTTTTTTTTATCTACGTTCCCGATCGGTCGCGATCGCGCAAGAAAAAGCGCTGTTGGAAAAAAAAACCCCTTTTACTCGATCCACCGGCGAAACTGTTCCTAAAACTCTTGGTCTATCCTCGCGCGTGTGTGGGACTCCGCCTTCTACATCACCGATCGACTCCGATCTACAACTCGCTACAACTCGAGAGAAGCGTTCTCTAGCGTTTTTATTTTCTTTTTTTTGCTTGTTTGTTTTTTTTTCGAGCCGGTTGACGTTACTCGCTCGTAACCTGGCCCCGTACCTTGGGCAGATCGCCCCTGTTGCTGTCTTCACTGCTCGTGAAGGTGCTAGAAGTGTCTATCCCGGAGTCTTTGGTCGCGCTGTCTTGGCTACCCTGTCGATCGGCCTCCCAAGACCATTCCTCCTCCTGAGGGCCGCCGACATTGGTCCCACCATCAAAACGCACTGTCTTTTTCCCCCTTCTCTCCGTGAACCTAATGGACACGCCACATACACACAGAACACGAGGACGATAGGTGGTTGGTGCCTGTGTGTGTGCGCGTGTGTATGTACGCGCGTGTGTGTGTGTGTGTGTGTCTGTCTTGTCGTATCACCACCATCGTATCACCGTGATTCCCGATTTCGCGATCCCGTTTAGTGATCGAGCTCGAAGTGTGACCCACCGCGATTGACAACACGGCCCGTGTATACATCGGTTTCAAGTGACCGCTCGTCGTTCAATGTCTTTCGGAACTGTTGGTCAAGAACTTGCTTTCGACATTTTTCCGTATACTTCGATTAAAGCGATATTAAACTTGGATACAAATCCAGCCAGATTTGGTCGCGTCTCGTGTCATAGAAGTGCAAACGTGATTTGAAAAATCTGATGTTCAATTATGAAAGAGTAAGTTATGGCACGATAAATATTTTATGTATTCTCCGACAAAATTTTGATTGCGTAAAAGCTATTCCATCGAAACGAGCTCGTTTTCAATTTGTTGTCATTTTAATTAAGGTACGTACGCGGTAGAGATTCATGTTTTTCATAAGATGTGACAAATACGTTCCTCGTCATTGTTCCTCGAATAACGTAACTTTTCTTACTTTATCCATTTCTTGTTTAAATCGATGCGTCGAATATGTGTTCCGAATATCTGTCTTTTGTTTTCGATAGATATATTTCAATTAATACGATCTCGTAAAGTGTAACAATAAAAATCCCCGATCACAGAAGCTCACCTATCAATTTACGTTCATCAAAAAACTCGAACAAAGCATACGGGGTTGCACCGTAACTTGAATAATACAAGTGACGCGTTTATGTTCAACTTCAACATTTGCATACAATGTTCCGATATAAAGCAAACCAGTGAGGCGTAATAATAATTATTTTCGCGTGCAGCAAATGTATATAATAATTATAACCGATGTATTCTCCGAACGTGCCGCGACGTCGAACTTGTATGATAGGAGACCACCGCGACGAGACTCCGCCGAACGTTTTATCCGTTCTCGTTCGCGCCACCGGTGACGCGTTCTTATCGCGTAAAACCGGGGAGATAGTGTTGTGAGAGGGAAAAGCGGCGCGCGCGAGATCGTCAGCCTCCCTGGAACGCACCTCCTACTGTCGGCGCGCCACTCGTCGCCGCATCTTCGGAAGCTCCGTCTGACGAGAGTGCTCTCTTCCTTTCGCGGCTCTCGCGGTGGATGGTGGCCGTTATGCTCCACGGCCGTCATGCCCGCGTCCGGCCCGTGGTGCCCATTGTGGGATCCGTTGTGCCTACGCCCACCACTGGACATCGATTTCGGACCTCCCGCGTGGTGGTAGTACCCCTTCCCTACAGTAGATCCAAAACGTTTCGTGTTTTTCTTTCTCCTTCCTTTCCCTTTTCTCTCCTCCGCGAGCGCTTGCGCGGATTTTCGCCTTTTTTCCCCCATCGCATCGCGAACCCTTAACTCTAGCTACGACTCTCTATCTCTCTATCTCTCTCTCTCTCTCTCTTTCTCTCTTTCTCTCTCCCGCGCCTGTCCGGGGAGAAAAGAGCGTATCCTCTCGCGGTTCTTCCATCGAGATCTTCTCTCTGCGCACGCGTCCTTCTTCAACTCTTACACGACTCGTTTTTCGGCTCGATCGCGTCCAGCTACCGAAAACGAAAGCGTTATCGTGTCCCCGGGGGATTATCCCGTCGTTATCTCGTGCCGAGTGCATCTTCCCGCGATGCCTCGCATTCCTGCCCTGCCCCCGGTGTTTCTCCCTCTTTGACTCGCGTGTCAGCCTCGTGTGTGCGTTTTGTGTGTGGCGATATACCTAACGGAAACGAGATAAGGCAGCGGTGCAAGCTTGCCCGCGATAAATGTGCGACAGACGGCGTCTGATCAAGCGTTAAGTAAGGACCGCACGCCTGGATCTGCCTACGATTGGCACGCGATTGGCGAGAGACGCTAAAAGAAAACAGTACGACTATATGCGTAAATTTGTGCAGGGATCGTGTGGCTGTGTGTGTACGTGTGCGCGCACGTGCATAATTACGATAAATTACGGTATCTTTCCTGGGCGAAAGGTCCATCTAAAGTTCTGCACTGAGACGCTTTCTATCTCTTAGAATGGCAGGATTATATAACGGTAGACACATCACAGACTTTTGTCCGTTACACAACAAAAAAAACTGGGCGAGACACAGAACACATGAAAAGTTATCGTGTGAAAAGACGAAAGACACAGATTTGGCCTCCGTAAAGTCGTGTTCGAAAAATTAAATCGACGTACTCGTAATATCAATTAATATCAATATCTGGAAAACACGCGCACAGTGTCGAGTAACATTGGCATCTTTATTTTTCCCTCGAGTTAAATTCTCTCGGACTTTAAAGGAGGTTCAGCTCACCGTACGGATGCCAAAGACACCACTGTTTGAAAAAAAAGGAACTCAAGAAAAAGTAAGACACACGAAACACAGTCCCAATTCCAATCTTAGGAGCGCAATTTCGTTGCTGCAGCGTCATCATTCCGATTAATGGAAAGTACCTACGGGTTCTATGCGGATATCCAGATAACGTGTGTATGCGAGCGAACGGGAGGCCCCGAGATGTGGAGATATTTTGTGGGAATTGTATGTGTGTACGCGTATATATTCTTGAGTGAAGTGTAGATAAAAATATACCTGTGCACGATTCATAGCCGTCCAAAGTAGAACAAATAAAGTCTATTACAATTTTCTGCCGATCGGTCGCATCACGCAACGCGCCAGTCACGGTTCCCTCTCGTAGGAAAGCTTGGCTGCGCCTTTTTTTTTCCCTCCCCTCACCATGTGTATCCCCGCGTTATTCTCATGGCAACGCTAACACGAATGTGTCCCCGAGGGCGCGGAAAGATAATTTTCTTCGCAAAGTGCACGACAATGTAAAGGAAACCTAAACACAATTAAGTATGGACGGTATGTTCCCAATGAAGTTTAATCCCGAAATTGGATCAGCGGGGCAGAATTTTAAAAGAGTTATCAAACCCCGCGCGAAAAAAGGAGAGGCGCGGAAAAGGAGGATGCGTAAAAAAAAACACAAAATAACTTAACGCGCGCGATAACCGAGAGTGCCCACGGATATACCAGATGGAGAAATAACTTATCGATCCCCTACTCGATACGCACGACCGTTCGGCAGATACGTACACACACATGCACACGCATACGCACAGATATACATATTATATATATGTATATGTAAGTATACATACAATTAGATATATGTGTAGCGATTAATATATAGCGAAAGATGATTTGCTTTGTAGTTTTATGTAATAAAATTATTAAGTACCGCGAACTGCCGATTCATTCTGTCTGCCGCCTTCTCCCACGCACCCCTGGAAGTCATCCCTAGCGGCGGCGGCTTTTGCCCTAAAAGCCGATCTCCCTTTAACTACACATTGCAATACTGGTTTGACTTACTGCTAATCATCGAAATAATATGCTTGGCCGCTGCGGTTCGTTCTGCATCAGAAATCAACTGGTGCACGGAGAGAATTTGCTCTTCCAATTCACCCTGAAAATCAGGTAACCGCGGGACAATACATTTCGAACAATTTTATAAGAGATTTTTCACATTTCACCATGCATTTTACTCGTTGAATATGTACCAAGTATAATTATACACTGAGAAAGATGTCCGACTAAATAGAATCGCATAATATAATTACGTAATAACAAACGGATATATCCAATTAAATTGTATATCCGATGAAAAATATGATCGGTTTTTCAATCAAATCTCGTCGGATAAATTTCATCGGATGTATCCATAATTTAATCGGAAAACGTAGTCGGAAATAGGTTTTAAATTTAATAGGTTTATCCGATGAAACATTTTCTTAGTGCACTAGTGAAATATATGGAAAAATTTCAAAAAACTATAAACATTCTTCGAAATGCCGTATTGTATATATGTAAGTATACATACAATTAGATATATGTGGGGCGATTAATGTACAGCGAAAGATGATTTGCTCTGTAGTTTTATGTAATAAAATTATTAAGTACCGCAAACTGCGTAAAATATGAACTAAGTATAATTACTAGTAAAATGTATGGAAAAATTTCAAAAAACTATAAAATTCTTCGAAATGCCGTACTGTCCCACGATTACACGATTTTCAGGGCAAAATTTTGAGAGAAAATGCTCTGTCCATGTGTTATACACATACATACATACATGTGTGTATGCGCATGTATCTTTACACACACAGGTTACCGATGCGATATCGGGATTGTCTGTGCAAGATTTCGTGCACGGTGTGTTTAAACACAAGACGCAAGCAGAGAGACTCGGTGATAGACACGAGGGTACAACGAGCTGTCGAACATCTGTGAATTAAAAGAAAATATCGCACAAAATAAAACTGCGAAAGCATATTCTCATTCAATTCGACGATTCTGAATTTACCGCGAACGGTATTTTACAGCCATGCTACGGGAATATCACGAGATGCGAATGATTCTTTGACCTCGGACGACGTGCAAGTCGTTACTCGCAGATAATTCTCTCGCTGAAAGAAATGCATCATTAATTTTGTCATGATTAAATATCAAAGATCGTAAAGGGGCGTTTTTAGCTCGAAAAACATTTGAAAGAGGGACATTGGGAAGAAGAAGTCCCGGTTGTACGTGTATATTGTCGGTACGTAGGCGGCGAGTGTGCGATAAAAAAAAAGAGAGAGTAGAGATTCGCGGTTCGTAAAACTAACAAATTGGTAATACGATCGCCACGAGAGAGCATCCTTATATCATTCAACGACACCTACATATCCGTGTTCCACGCGACGGCGTGCATTTGATATCCGTGTGTCAATGCGACCTCAGCATTACGACATAACGAGAGACGATAAAAGCGGGAAGAGCCGCTCCATTGATGATCGGGAGGCGCGTAACAATGGCGCCCGTCCGGTTGTGAAAATTTCACGCTCGGCGCTTTTCCCAGGGACATAAATTTAATTTGCACGCGCGCTATCGCGAATCGTAACCGAGAGCGCCGAGGTAAGAGGAGAGGACCTTTAAACGTGTCGCGTATCCTCCGTCGCAAAGTAACGACCCGCATAAAAGGCGCCGCCCGCCGTACTCGGGGAACGCGCACGCAAAATGACGGGGGCCTCGACGGGCGACTTGTCGATGGGCGTTTAAGGTAGGCGGAATAGTCACGCATCCGCTGGTACCTGGCGACGCGAGCATGGCATTTTCCGCCCGGCGGGATCCGCTGGCGCGGGTAATAAATAGAAGAAGCGTGCGCGCGCTCCAGGGCGCGAGGGCGGCCGAGCAGATGTTGCGGGCGCGGCGGAACGGAAAGAGGGAGACCGCGCGGAGTCACGCGTCGGGAAAAAGAGAGTGCAGAGAATCTTAATTTAAAAGTTAGATGACACCGACTCACCGCGTATAAATCACTCCAAGATTTTACCACCCCACTCCCGGCGCCGCCTCGCGCCCACTTTCCGCGGGGCACCGTAGGTCCTCGTCAGCGGCGGCGACACGGTATCTCGTTTGCGTTCCTTACCTCCCTCGTAAAAAAATTTCGCTGAGCTACGCCAGGTTCGGCCGCGCGAGGAGCGGTGGGTAAAAACCGCGCCGACGAAGACTCATTACCGAGATAACGAAATTGGGTAAACTCGAAATGCCGAGCACCTACTCTTCCCCCCCGATCCCTTCCCTCCCCCGCTCGCTATCTCGCCGGCGAGGCGTGATCGATAGCGGCGAGAGCGAGACTTTTAGATATTGCGGCGTTACCGTCGTCGCGATCGAATCGCGGCTATCAGCCAGCAGGCGTCAGAAGCGGATTATTCCGGGGTCTGGGATTTGCGGCTACGCGCGCCGCAGGTGCGCGACTGCTGAAAACGGACCGGGGATCTTCATTAGCGTTGATTCCGGGGCGCCGAGAGTACGGAGAGGAGATTACTTAGAGACTAGACGAGAGGCGCGCGATTACCGCTAGCCGCATCGATTGCGCGGCGAACGTTTTCCCCCGGCAATTAATTCGCCCGCTGCGAGCATCTCTCCTTCTTTCCCTCCCCCTTTCCTCTCGTGGCCCTCGCGGAGAGACACGTGTCTCGCGCCTCCCCCAGACTCTCCGGCTGGTCCCCGTTGAAACGGGCGATCGCCCGGGTAACACAGGAGGGTAACACGCAACTTACCTCGGCTTCTACAAACTAATTCTCTATTCACTAATTGTATTGTGCATCTACGAATGGGAGCAACAACACCACCGTCGGGCTAGCCCGTCGCTTCCCCCGCGCGTCGCATTTAAAGCGATTCTCACATGTGATTACTCGTCGTTACTCGGCTTTCATTGACGATTGCGCTGCCGCGCGCAATCGTCTCCGTTCGTCAGACCTACCGACGACTCATCCCTTACAGAAGTGTAAGCGAAACAATCACTGGGGAAACTGTTAGAGATTACTGTACACCGCTAGTCCCTCGTGATTCAGTGCTACTTTTCGTTTCCAGTTGTTACATTTCTGTAAAAGATATTTGTCCAGACCTCGTCTCGTCTGGAATATTCGTCACGGCCAGACGCTTCGTGGCCGGTTTGACTTTTAGTCCTGATGCCTTAGAATGAAAAACCGCGAAGAGGCAGACAATCAATTGAATTAAAATTGAGATCAACCGACGTGGCTATGCGAAACCAATCGTCGATCTCGTGTGATCGATCATCCAATGCACGTGTCCCTTTTCCTTCTCTCATCCTGTAGGCTCGTTCAAATAATATTCGTAACGGAGGCGATTAATATAGACATCGAGACTCTCGCGCGTCCCCGCAGAGTTTGTCACGCGTCGTCGAAAAAAATATATACAGGGAGGGAAAAAAAGCGCCGAGACTATCGGTCCGCATTACCGCTATTATTGGCATTTTTATTGAAGGTAGGCCGGCGGAGACCGTGCGTCACAACAGCACCGGCGCGATGCGTGTCTTCGATACGCGTGGCTTGCAGTCGCCAGTCTCTGCGGAGTAGCGACCGCCTGATTCCGGCCCCCACGTTTATCCACAGCGAGCTATCGCGTAACAATCGAGAGGAAATATCACGTGGCGTAGGCCTACTCCGTGTCTCCGCCGACAGAAATAAACGCGAAGAGGCGGAGATATCTCGCGGGAGGGGGAGGAGGAGGGGAGGGAACGCGAGGACGGGGGAGATCAAAGCCGTGCGCTCTGCAAAATCTAGCACGGGGGTTGCTCTAACTATTTGCATCGCCGGATACACGGTAGGCGCGTATGTACGTATACGTATGCACTCCGCGCCCACGTGTTTGTGCATTTACATGAATCCATAACTAGCCGTATAATAAATCGCCGCGCCGCCGCTGCTAAGAGTCTCACTTCGGCTTTCGCAAGAGGGCAATTTCGTTTATTTTCCACGGCGGGCAAGCGCTACGGGCTTGCGCTCCGCCCTTAATTCCGCCCCTCGGGTATATTTTTAGTCGTACGCTTTTCCATAAATTAATTGAATTAAAAGACACGCGAGCTTCACGCGCATTCGACATGTTTTAAATGGCACGGGACATGCGCGATATCGTTAAAGCGCGAATGTGAGATGCGCAGTTACAGCCAACTGTAGCGAATTCGGTTGCTCGCGCTAGTACGCACTGATTGTGAGTGCACGCTAAAACTTGTTTCTAGTCATTTCTTACGTTTAAAGGGCCTCTTAAATACCTCTTGTGACATTTCTTATCCAGAAAAATGGTCTGTATAACGTTTATACGGATCATTTTTTTTTTCTAAATGCCCTTTGAACACGTTAAATATAAAAATTGACTGTAAACAAGCTTCAGTGTGCACTCAGTGCGCACTAGTGCACGCAACCAAATTCGCTATTGATCTTACTCCTCTCTAGTTGTACCATCTATTTCTTCTACGATGGATTCGGCAACGCGCCTTAAATTCCGACGCGAAGGCTAATCTCGATGCGCGCGTTGCGCCATTTTTCTGAATGACCAAGGACTCCACGGTATAAAAAAAAAGAGAATAAAAAGATTAATATACGGCGCCCCAAAGCCTTGCTCGTCCGACCGTCAAATTGCAACGTCTTCGGATTAATTTATACGAAGTAAATTTATACGGAGCCTCCATCCCTTCCTCCCTCGAGAAAGATTCGATCCTGTTTTACCGCGTGAGTACGGGACGTAAAAAAAACAACAACAAAAAACAAAAGAGCGAAAGAGGGAAAAACTACTGCGGTGCATAAAACGCTAATATAATTACGGTTATCGCGAGTACAGTACTCCCTCGTTTGTCACGCGGGCGATCAATCATGGAAAATGGTCGGCGCGCGTTGCGCGGACAAATTAGCCCATGAACTCCCATCGGGGAACCACTGTAAAGCGCGTCGCGAAGGAAGGAGGAAAAAATACTGTAGCGCGCACCGCGGCGTCCCCGTCGGTCGATTTGAAAAGCGCGATCGCACGGCACGCAGTCCTCACATTGCCCAGAGGTAGGGAAAATGTCAAAGTTTCTCCAGCCTCCGTTCATAAGTAACGAACTGCGCGGAGGGGTAGCGAGGAGGGTGGGTTCACGTGATCTTCATTGTGCTCCCGATGACATTTCGTAACCCCGTTTCGCCGACTACGTTGGTTTACTTTACTTTTTTTTTTGTAAAAAAACAGAAGATATAAATTTGCCTTATCGCGCGGAGCTCAAAGTTATGGTCGAATTAACTTGAAAAGCAAAGCTGCGGAAACGTTTAATCTTATTATGCACCGGTATTGTATGCGCCTTCAAACGTAGGGAATTGTCTTTCGAAATCAGAGGAGGTAGGTGATAAATCGGCTCGCGCTAACGAGGCGAAGGGTCAGAGGTGCACTCGTAAATTCAGGCGCGCCGGAGGGAGAAATGATCTCCAAGATAATCATTCGACGGGAATCGAGGAGTGCGGCGAGCCTTTGAGCCGACGGGCCTTTTTCCCAGCCAGGTCCTGGCCGGTTAGAGGTCGAAGACTATTCAGAAACGAAGAAGGGGCAGATGTTTGAATTCGCCCACGTGCTGGCCGCGTGACGTCACCGCCAGCGTGTGGGCGTAGCGAGGTACCAAGAAGGAAGAAGAGGGACGGGGTGAAAATAGGAAGACCGCGGCGAAGGGGGTAGGGGGTGGGAGGGGGAGGAAGAGAGAGAGAGAGAGAGAGAGAAGCAAGCGGGGCGCGCGAGAGGGTTGGAAGGATGGGCGCGCGAGGGGCGAGGGGATGCCAAGGATCAATGCAACGGCGAGACCGGGAGGACAGAACCTGAGAATTCCCGCGGGATACATTGGCGCGACGCGGGACGCGGACAACAAGATCGCGGCGTACCGATCGTGGATTTAAAAAGAAGGGATACGACTCGTTGTCCCTAAAAATACCCCTCCTCCTCCCCTCCCACCCTACCTTCGCCCAATCGGAGGAGACACGTCCGATCAAGTCCGGTCAATATTCCGCGGAAGGATCGCTGGGAGGACCAGAAGGGCATCGAGCGCGCGCTGGCCATTATAAAATCGATACGTGCGCATCGAGTTATACAATATAACGTGTGGCATTTCAACGTGTGCGTTACCGTGCACGATGGACTCCCGCGTGGAAATTATTAAAACGCGACCGTGTTATGCGTCGCGATCCCATCCCGGCCACGATTGCCGTCCGCGAGATTCGCACGAGGGTTAACAGGGGTTGCGCGCGTCTCGGTTAAACCCGGGGATCGACCGGGGTTCTACCCCGAGAAAAATTTTACGACGCGTTTCGCGCAAGATTCGATTTAGCCATCGACCTGTGTACGTTATCGTGCTTGCACATGCGATGATCCGGGATGCTCAGACACGAATTTCGCACGAGGGGCTCTGTTGTGCGATCGACGCAGAAACTCGGCGTACCCGACCTTGATCATATGGAAAAAGTGATGCACGGCGGAGATGGGCGCAGAATACAGTTTATTTCTGTACTCTGCGAGAGAAAGAGAGAGAGAAAAAGAGAGAAAAAGAGAGAGAGGCTTCACCCTACAGGTGCGCACCTGGATGAGTCGGTTCACAGTTCGTCGATCTCGCGTTTAATCAACTGTGAATCGCATACATACATCGCACACACGGCTCCATCACCTTCCTCGACGAGTTTTAGGAACGGAACGGCCTCCACGAAAACGAACGCGGCAAAATATTATCGGGAACACGCGCGTGAAGTTTACGAGCTACTTTGACAATCAATTAAAGCACCGCTGATCTAGTCCTCCACTGTAGCGTCTGGTAAGTGCCCATCCACAATAGAGATTTAAACCCTAGACCTTAAGAAATTGACTAATCACAGTCGCGTATTCTACTCGTACTTGACCGTGACTGGTCAATTTCTTCAGACTTGCGGCTTAAATCATCTGTTGTAGACTGAGACTAATCGGAACGCGATAGAATCTTGCGCTTTCGTTATATTTTCAAGAAACGTTAAATTTATATGTAAAATTGACTGACAAAGCATATTCTCTTAATTTTTTTTATCAATAGCGTAAAACAACTTTATTACAATAATAAAGTTGAAACCAAAACTCTCGGGGCGAAGAATTACATATGTGACTGGATATTTTTTGTATTCCCGCGTCTAGATATGTAAGTATTACATTAATTCAACAGCATTAAGTCATATTTAATACAAAATGTTTCGATTGATATATTTTATGCATACGCGTGTTGTCTTTCAATCAAACACGAGCATTGGATGGATCGATTACACTTTCCATAACCGTTTTATGTACAGTATCGTGAATACGCGTGTTCTTCGTAAACCAAATATCTATTGACACGGAAAGACTAATCTTTCCTCGTGCATTGACTTTCAAGGGCAAGGGCGATTTTCCCGATCGTCTGACGTTTGCATTTTAGAATAAATCCGGCGGCGATTTGACCATTTTTTATTTTACCAATAGTATATATTTTGTAAAAAGATCACGAATGTAACATAAACTATATCGCGATAAAGTTTTACTCTTTATCATTTAATTAAAAAATTAATACAAATAGATAGGAACGAACTCGACTGCAAAAATGTGCTTGTACAAAGCGCGTACTGCTATTATATAAACCGTTTCGTATGCACCACGCAATTTGGATTAATCCAGATCATACTTTACGATACGTAAGTTAGCTTTAACTCGAGAACAGTGTACTTTAACAAGTTTTTGTCGGAAACTAAAACTCTTCCTCAAAGAACCCGGATAAAATTTGTATCGCGAGTAGTATCGGTCAAACGAAGTATCCCGTTAATTGATATCGAGCAGTGGGTTGGATAATTAGCGATAAATGTCAAGATTGGAGGTTCCGCTTACCCTTCTCCGATTCGTCCGGCTCGTCGCTGGCGCACTCCGGTGTGCTTCGCTCTTCCTCACTGCTACTGAAACTTCTTTGCTGCGGGACGCCCACTGTTGACGCGGATTGAGCGGGACGTCCGCTCTGTGTCTGGTGCAACGAGTGCTGCTGAGAGGGATGCACTGCGGTACGAACGGAGCTAGTCTCCATCGGTGTCTGACCGTACGTCATCCCGAGGTCGGTACCTGGATCCTGCGTTAAACAATCGATACGTTATTAACAACACTCGACGAATCGCCACCGTGATATCGACCTTCAAAAATTGCCGTTAGTTGAATCACTTGTTGAGATTTGTTATTCGATTAAAAATTAAGTTAAGGCTCGTAGTGGCGTTTTTGTTTGTAGAAAAATTGAAATGCTGCCACTGTTTGTTAAATAAATATACATGAAAATAAAGGCACATCGTTTTATTTATTGCACCTATCATTACTTGGTTGAAAACTGAATTGACAAGTCTCGGACGGGACGTGGGAAAACTTAACTCGTCGAATTTAATACGCGGCTCGACACTAACGAATTATCTTTCATAATAACAATTGGCGAAACTATCGGCTTACTTGATAAGATCGTTGCCTCTGATAAGTCGGCGGATGTTGTCTCATCAGACCGTCGATTTCGCCTCGGTATAAATTGGGATCGTCGTCAGGATAGGCTGCAGGATGCCTCGGAGTTTGTTGCACCGGGTAAGAACTAACCACGTGGGGCGTCGGTAAAGTTCTCGCGTGAGGCGAAACGGACATTTCCACCCCACTGTCGCTCGTGGACATCCGGCGACCCGAGATCTGCAACCACAGGAACGAAGCCACACTGAGTGCTCCGTAATGTAATACGTCGCGAGGGCCGCGGGCTGATAATCCTTCGGCCGTGACGGGAAACGCCACGGTCTCTCCTTCCGTTGGTAAATAAATAAAATCGCGGAGATATGAAACGTGCGAACGATTGCCAACTTATCGCGGTGCGACGTTACATATTTATGAGTGTAGAAGCATCCGAGCGTTTACGTGAGCAAAAGTATATCTGCCTTTGTAAATAAAAGAGCGCGCCCCGACTAAAAGTATCGGGCGAGCGAGGAGAACGTTACCTGCTCTTGCTGGGAGTACTGTCTCCTGAGAGGACAGTTTCCGCTTCTCTGTAATAACGGCAAATTCTCTTTCTCAGCCGCGCTGTGCGCCCTCTCGAGTTTCGGTCTTTTATCCCGAGTTTGGTCCGCGAGTCCCTGACGACCACCCACCTGCAAGTCCTCCTGCATTTGCCGCAGCAACGCGCTGTCCACGGCGCCGAGGCCCGTCTTCGTCGTCATCCATTGTCCAGTCTTCGAAAGAAGTTCCTGCTTCTTCCGGCAAAGTATACACACCCATATCACCTGCAACCAGAAAAGTGGCGCTCTCCCGTTGACCGCGATAAATATAGCGCGAGCGTCTCCTATTTGCAACCCGAGGTGCAAATAGAGTGCCGCGAGGGCGTAGCATTTTGGGACACGTGCTGTTAAAGGGCTCGGCACGGTGGTGGTGTTTTATTAAGGACCGCCCAGGGAACGAATGTGCCATGTGCGCGCAAAAATTTTATCTCACCAAAGCGCGAAAGTATCTTGAAACTTATCGATCCAGGTCACCGCGTGCGGCCAGTGACGAGGATATTAATAGGAAATTACCTATAGGAAGTCGGCCGGTTACCAAGCTAATTGGAATGTATAAAGCGGCGTGAGATTGATTATAAAAGCGAAAGACACACGCGGGCTCGAGTCGCCTGGACAGCGTATCTTATTTTACAGCTGTTTCCGCTCGAGCGCGTTATTTTTGCGATAAACCGTTCCGTATAAAACGGAATCTCGAAAATGCGCTTTAAACCAAACAACGGTATTTAGAACAATTGTATCCGCTCTGCTCCGCGAGGTTTGAAATCTCGCTGGTTTTACAGAGAGAAATTGTAAATTCCTCTCCAAGTTTCCGTCGTCGGGCCGGGCCATTGCCTTGGGCTGTATTCTTATGCAAATCCACGCGGATCTGAGCAATGTTAAATTAAATTGAACAGATGCGAGCGCAAAGATGAGAAGTGTAACAAAAGAAATCTGCTCGCAGAACGCATACGTAGACGATTAAAAGACAGTTACGGTTTCCCCACGACCTCTTTTCCACATTTTCATTTTGGTAAAAACTTCTTCTTTGCAAACGCTCGTCAGTTTGTCTTAAATGTTAATTCGCATTTCGCCGAAATGCGAGTGGAATAAAATTATATATAAAATAAAGGGGTAGAATTTACCCGTTTTCAAACTTACGAATTTGTTTCACGCAGATGTACGTGCATTCGTAATGTTAATACATTATAAATGCGGCATAATTTTTTCTACGATACTTCTGCACTTTTACCCTTTGTGTATCGGATATTGAATATACATGTATCTAATGTTATTTAAATAATCTCAAGTTCCTTCAAGTACGAGACGAGTTCTTAGGTAATGACGATTACGTAATGAAATCTGCATATTCCATTGTGGTATTAGTGTATTCTATTGTGAGCATAACAAAGCAAGAAACAATAGCGCGACTCAAGTCAGGGGCATATTTAATAAGATTAATCGTTTCGATGAATTATCTATAGAAAGTGTGCATTCTTATACGCAACTGTTGTGTATCGGATATAATGAGGGTTCACAATTAGCGCACTACCGCTCGAATCAAGTAGTTTGCACTGTGAATGGGAACTAGTAGAATATTTCATCAAGATAGAGGAGTGATGGATGGAGCGTTTAGTAGCAAACTACAAAACAATGCCTATGCAAACTCTCATCGATAACACTTTGCTGCCCACTCCGGCGTTACATTGAGAAAATCATGATGGGGATCAATGACGCGCCGCCAAATAATGCAGAACTTGAGATTTCGTTGTTCTCGGAGGGAACGGGAGCGCTGCACGCAAAAGGCAGGAAACTTTAATTATTCTTGCGAGAATTCAAATTTCAGACGTAAATCGACGTCAAACATGGCAAACTTTATTTTAGTTTGATGACGAATTCGTCGGGGAGCCGAAGAAAGTAAGTGCCTGTCAACCTACTTCGTCCGAACGCTGCGTGCCGAGCGAACGTGACTCAGGGTATCATGAATTCGCTGTACACACGTCAAACTCTGCCTTTAAAGGAACATGTAATTTTTGTTGCAGCGGCATGTAGATAATATTGCGCGATATACAATTCTAATAAATACAGATGACTCCCCAATTCGTTGCTGCAGTAGCGTACGATCATTTTTACATACAGTCCGCCTTTTCTTACATTTATTTAATCCTGAATGAAATAGTATCGCGAAATATACATTAGAAAATTATTTCATTGGCTACGTACAAAAGTGTGCATAACTCTCTGCAATATTCATTAATTCTCAGCACCGTTGAATAAAATGAGTCACTTAATAAAATTGTCAAATAAAATGTGTCCGTAAAATGTATACTTCGTACGAGCTAGACGATGTCTCTCCCCCTCTCTCAACTAAATGGAAATTACGTTACACATACACACGTACCCAACTGCAACCATCAAGAATTTAATCCGATACTGCTCTATAATTTTCATAGAGGAATACGAAGGCGTTTAGACACTTGGACATGTCTCTTCTGGTTCGCGCGTTTCGTTAAATGTTTCTTTAAGAATTATCGTAACACTTTCGACGCCATTTCGCAGCGCGGCTGGTAAGCTTAGCGTTCTAGAATCGGGAAGGAGAATTCCAAGAGCGAAGCCGGAAGCTATGGGAGATACGCGCGAAGAGAACGACGGAAGGAAACGAGTCGCGTATGTGCGTGCGCATTCGAGTGTGTCACCTCAAAATGATCGCGAGGCGAATTTCCAGATGAATTCGAACACAATCGCACGTGCGCACAACGATCGCGCATACTTTAAGCGAGTAAGCCCGAGCGAAATCCTCGCGACACCCGGCGATACCACGGTGCAAACTGACAAGCCCGTCCGCAAAAAAGAATCCGCGAGGAGCGAAGAAGAGAGCAGCGAAGATGCGGGGAAAGGGAGCCAGGAGCGAGGAGGAGGAGGCAGCCGCAAAGATAAATGCGGACGAACTTGAAGAGCACTTGGTTGAGTTGCCTGGACAGCAATATGTCAAGAGTTCAACCTCTTTCCGCGGCCTCCCTTCGTTCGCCGGCGTCCTTCGTCCGCCAAAAATATTTCGTACGTACGTGTGACACACGCGAATTGCCTGCCAATCTTAAAGAAACGGGGGGGAGAGGGAGGGGGGAAGAAGAAGATCCTCCCTGTCCCCCTATCTCGCTACCCGCCTGCGCAACAATTCGAGAGAGTCCGGTGCCGCGTGAGCGATCGTTAGATTCGACGGACTGGCCCGCATCGGTGATCCGCCGTTAGTTAATTAGAGACAAATTAATTCAGATTACTTTATCACGACGCCAAAGTACGCAGTCCCACCGCCAGCCGAGCCGAAATGGCAACGGCGATGACACACCGGCGTCGTCATCAACGTCCACGTTCCGATACTTGGAGCACGAGGGACGATCGATACCACACAAGCTCGTACGAGTCAATCCGATAAGTCACTACGACGTCAACGTTATACGGCACGTAATATTCGCGAGAGAATCAACGCGATTCCGTCTTGACTTGGGAAAACGTGTGATCGATGCCAGCTTTGAATATATAAACCCTGTCGCGTATGCCAAATTATCTCCTACCGATAACATTGGCCGAAGAAGAGAGGAAAAGAGAATATTTCCCAAATTCCAATAACTGGACATCGCGAGTCCCATTTAATTTATGCATATTGACTTTACATATATGTCCGAAAAAAGAGAAAGAAACATTTTTTTCATAATGAAAATGAACGTATATATTATATTGTTGCAATGCGATTTAAGATAAGACAGCGTACGCTCGCAATATCGCAACGCTGTTCTTTCAGACCTTTCCCTTTGATCACTCGGAATGAAGCCGAAACTAAATCAACTGAATCCCCGCAGTCTTGTCTGAAGGAGTTTCCGCTTTCTTGAATAAAGCGTTGTTTTTCAAAGAAAATAGTTCCGCGAGACCGTCGCGGAACAAAAGAGCCGACTTCTTTATTGTCAGCAACCACCTGATGGATGAGAGAAACGTAGGGAATGATAAGCGAAAGGTACATTGCGATGCCAAGGGGTTTCGGCCGCGCAACGATCCGTCTACGTGTAGAACAACATCCGCAACTCAGATCGCCCTTCAGATCCGTAGTAGAGCTCCGCTCCAGCGAGGCATCGTATCGGGAGGGCACTTCGGAAGACCAACCCGGAATCATGCTCGAGCATATAATACAGACCAAGTACGTGGGGAACGTGCACAAGTCCGGCTTTCGTAAACGACGGCCAAGCCTTTGAGGCAGGCTGACGCAATTACGAAGTGCTCTCGTTTTAGGAATCAGTTTGCACACACGAGTTCGGCGGAGTTTCAAATGACACTACCACCGCGCGGCCCCGGCGGATTATTGTGTACGCGCGCCGCCATCAATCGTCAGTGAATCGTAACGGCATAATTGATATAATGCAAAATTAACAACGGACTGAATAAACAGCGCCGATAAATATACGCTGGCTGTTTTCACGACGTTTTTCCGCGCGCATGAAACGGCGGCCGGATGCAAAAACGTTTAACGAGCGGCAAGATTTGTCTCGGCGAGGAATTCGCAGCGCAGCCCCCCCCCGTTCACGGAACTCGCAGAATTCTTCGCGGAGTCCGTCGCGCCACGGAGGATCGCGAGGGGATTTCGCAAGTTTACAAAGCGCAATTTTATCTACTCGCTCCCTTTTAATGACTTTGACCTTTGCACTTTTGCATCTTTCTGATAAGGAGCATAGATCCATATTAGCGTCAAGGGCTTATACTTTGTCCGGCCAACTTTTCAGGTGTCCTACATATAGAATGAGCGGACGAGGGCGAGTCGTATTCCCAAGTCGCTGCTCCACGGAGGGCGTCAGTTGAGAAACGACAGATGCTGCCCGTAAGTCAAAGTACCGGGTTCTTAGCGAACTTTCGATCGTTAATACCCCATTGGGAATGTGGCTACGTGTGCGGGTGTACGTTGAGTCGCCACGAAAGTCGCATACGTTTATGATCGCCTCATACACAGACACACATACACACAACTCCTGTAATTCGTTTATGATTGCCGACGTGCGAGATGCGAGGAGGAGCAGCCGCTCCGAATTGCTACAGCGACGAGAAATATGCCGGTAAAGAGGCACCCGTTGTACCGTACGTAAACTTTTGCAGATTAACGCTCGTTGTTAATGTTAAAGTATAGTTTGTAATCATTATTTTAAAATTTATCACAGAGTTCGGGGGCTCCAAGCACTCTCTGGGAAATATTTCGTCGATGCGCCAGG